CGTGTGACCTTTGGCTATTTCTCAAGCTGAAAATGCCGCTAAAAGGAACCCAAATTTAGTCGAGAGAAGACATCGTGCGAAATGCGACGGACCGGCTGATAACCATTCCAAAAGATGCGTTCCAGCAGTGTTTCCAGCAATGGCAGAAACGCTGGGAGAAGTGTATACATTACCAAGGAGACTACTTTGAAGGGGATTAGGGTTTTGTTCCTCAAAGTCAATAAATTTATTTTTGCCGACCAAAGGTCCGATACTTTTTGAACAGACCTTGTATTATCAGTATATCTGAAGTACAGAGCCCCCGTTGGGATTCAGCTTGCTCTCTTGTTTATTACGTGCATCACCTCAGTGCAGGGTATTTACATTTATTCAAGTGTTCAAATCATGGCTTCAAAAAAAACAGTAAGGTGATTTCAATTGAAACAAAGCAAGAAATCATCAGAAGGAGTGGAAGTGGGGTAAAACAGTGTGACCTTGTCAAAGAGTTTGGTCTCAGCAAGACCATCATCAACACCATTTCAAGCAAGAAAAACACCATCAAGTCAGCCAAGGTTATTAAGAGAGTCTCCAAGATCTTCCATGTGAAGTGTAGGTCTTCACTCCATGACAAAATGGAAAGACTGTTGATGGTTTGGATCACTGACAGGCAGGTGAGAGGTGATATCTCTACACAAGAAGTTATCTGTCAAAAAGCCAAACTAATCTATGACAAGTTGAAGAAAAACACTCTTGGAACAAGCAGCAGCAGTGGTAATGAAGAAGAAGAGTTTAAAGCCAGCAGAGGGTGGTTTTTTAGGTTCAAGAAAAGGTGTGGAATTCACAACATTACCATGTATGGTGAGGCTGGCAGTAATGACAAGGAAGAAGTAGAGAAGTTCTCTGTTGATTTTCAACAATTTCTCAAGAATGAAGGATACCGCCCACAACAAGTTTTTAATGCTGACAAAACTGGTCTTTTCAAGATGCCCAACAGAACCTTCATTACCAAGGAGGAAAAGACTGCCTGGACACAAGCCCATGAAGGACAGGCTGACACTCCTGTTTGCAGCCAATGCCAGAGGACCCGAAGATCAAACCCCTGCTGGTTTACCATTCTGAAAATCCCAGGATTTTCAAGCAGTCCATTGGACTGCTTGAAAATCATAACCTGCTGTCCATTGGAAGTCTAACTAAAAAGCCTGGGTGACCCAGATTGTCTTCAAGGAATGTATCCTGGAAACCTTTGCTCCTGCTGTAAAGAAATACCTGCTGGACAAAGAGCTGCTGCTCAAAGCCCTGCTTATACTGGACAATGCCCCTGGTCACCCAAAAGACCTGGAGGAAATCCTGGAAGAAAGCTATCCTTTCATCAAGGTGCAGCATCTGCTATCACCACTGCCATCCTTCAGCCAACTTCATTGCCAACTTCAAAAACTGTACACCAGAGCTCTCTTCATGAAGGTGTTTGAAGAATGTGAACTTTGTGGAGACATGACTGTTCGAAAGTTCTGGAAAGAGAAGTTTGATGTTCTTGTGGAAATCAAACTCATCCAGGAGGCCTGGGGATAAGTCATGCAGAAGACCCTCAATTCAGCCTGGAAGAGGGCTTGTTCCTGAATGGACTCAGGAAGAACCAGCTGAGGATACAGAAGTGGTGCAGGAGATCAACTCAATGGCCTGAAAGTTGGAGTTGGAGGTGGATGATGTGGAGGACCTCATTGAAGAATACCAAGAAGAGCTGACTACTGAAGAGCTCCAAGCACTTCTGGCCCAGGAACATGATGAAGCTCAAAGGAAAGCTTCATCTGATGAGGAGAGGAGGAGCAATCCAATCAACCAATTTCAACTGCTGCCATCAATGACTTCCTTGTCAAATGGGGAGAGGTTCAGGAGTTTACCAACACTCACTATCCAAACACAGCTGAGGCCAACAGGATTAATGATCTCTACAATGACACCCTTGCCTGTCATTTCTGACAGGTGTTGAAGAAGAGAGAGAAACAGATCACCTTAGACATATTTTTCAAGAAGCCAGCTGCCAAAGAACAAAGGATGGAACAAGAGGAGTTGACCCTGCAAGGCCTGGTAGTCTCTCCTGAATCTGACTCCAATTAAAAAACAATAAAAAGAGACCTGCTGCATTGTGTAAAAAGTGTGTCTCTGTATGAATGTGTGAAAAAAGTGTTGTAGGAAGTCTCCACCTCCTCCTCACAATATCTGACTACCCAGCATAATTGGTGACTGCTCCTTTTCATTTTTTTAATGGTACAGTATGGTTATTTTATGCTGCGGAACAAATTAGATGTTTTAACATGTATTTCTATGGAAAAGTGCATTTCGTATAATGGACTTTTCACTTAATGGACGTGCATATGAAACGGATTAAGTATGTTATACGAGGCACCACTGTACAAAACCTTGCTACAATTTTCATAACAATTCTTTTACAATGCCTCATGGATTTTCAACAACTAATATAAACTTTTTAATATTAAAGCAATTAATATTGACATCAGACTGTTGTTAATTATTTTTGGATATGCCACACGTGATTATTGTATTACTTTAATAATATATCATGTACATGTTTACCTTGTAATAAAAAAATATTTATTTTCTACTCTCAATAAAAAAAATTAAGTTTTTTATTTCTAAGTATAACATCCTAATTTTAAAATCTCTGGGTCAGCAATTTTGGAAAGGTGGCAACACTGGGTTGTAGTGTGACAGGGTATTCAATAAAATGTGAGATCAATATCCCAGAAAATATGATTACAACTTAACAATTATGATTAAATTAAGTTGCAATTTACAAATGCTACAATTAATACACCAGTTGCAATAATTTTCAAAGCAATCACAATAACCCAGTCAGAATAACCAATTGATTGTCATTGAATTCTCTCAAAACTAAATAAAAAGAAAAATATTTGAGAAAAGGACTAATAGAATAGAATTATAAAAGAACAATATTTGTAATTTAAACACAAATTATTTATTGTATTTATACAGACACTTGGCAAATCACAGAATTAAATTTTATTCAGTTGAAATTTTATTCAACTGAATAAAATTTAATTCTGTGATTTGCCAAGTGTCTGTATAAATACAATAAATAATTTGTGTTTGAATTACAAAGATTACTGGCATGGTTTCAAAAATACCAGAACAATTTTGGCAAAAAGGGGTTGATTTTCCCCTGTGGAGAGAAACTACAGGCTCCAGTATAACCTCTGGGTCTTTCAGTCCCCCTCTAACCACATTTCCCTACTACCCATCCTAACACTCAACTTACCAATCTTTTTATTTTGGGTTGATTTTCCATGTTCCCTCCTCCATACCATACTGATATATCTTTGTAAAGAAACAAAGAAATTTACTTAAAAACCAGACTGCGTCCCATTGCTACATCATACTTTCCTCCCATCAGATCCAGATCTAACCAGAGGCTACCCATGTGGAGATAAAAGCACTTTAATTAAATCAATCAAAAGACCTATTTTGTCTCCTCTTTCCTTCATCATTTCAATAAGTCTTTGCAGTCAGTTTCATTAAATTTTTCTTATCCAGGTTCCTTTTCATCCTTAATCACAACTTTATACATTTCCCATCATTTCCTTCTCCTCTTGTCATTTCTATCCAACTAGTTCTTTCTTCCTTTTTCTTTTCTTTCCTCACTTTCCTTCTCCTGTAGTCATACATGCCTTTATCCCTTATCTCCACCTGTCATTATGCAAGCCAAACAAAAATCATCTGAAGGTGCCAACCAAACAGAATGAGACAAACAGAAAAGCAGAAATATGTATATTTAAGCTTAGAGAAATAATAATCCAAAAAGTTATTGCCACAGGTTCTATTCTTACAATAGAATGCAAGGATCTTCTCTACCATTGACAAGTTGAATTTATTTCTCAACATTTAAGTTATTTAGAAAATAAGTATCAGAAAACAGTATTTGCATTAATTTGCTTACACTTGCATCAGAAATGAAAATAAATATCTCAAACATAGTTTTGGAAAACTCAGAGTATAAACCTCTTTTACATATATTCATGTGCATTTATAATAGAAAAACTTACTTTAAATAAACTATAAATATCTAATAATACCTGATCTAATGAACGAAATAATAATATATCTTTGATTGCTTCTCCCAATCTCTGTCTTTGCTCATCTGTTTTTGGATGGACAATCTGTAAATTACAATTCATGTAACAGCTTCATTTTAATATTAAATTATGTAATATTTTGAATTTTAAATGTATATATGTAATTTAACCTTTTCGGTCTCATCATCGTCATCCTCTTCAGGATTATACTGTTCTGCAAACACTAGAGAAACAAAAAAGATATTATTTATGCATATCAGAAGTTTATTCTAAGCTCTCTTGCACTGTCATTTTAATATTGAATATTTATAAAAATTAGAATTTCCTTTCTAAAATCTTTTTATAAGAAACAAATTTCAATTCATGAAAATTTTGTATTGAGCAAAAATTAAATTTGAAAGCATTATGGATTGATTGAATGTACAGTGATACCCCAAACTTACGGGATAGGTGGGACTGAGCAATAACCGCGTAAGTTGAATTCGCGTAAGTCGGGGTATAATTTCGCAATTCATGTAAAATCTAAGTTGGATGTATGTAAGCTAATAAATGTTCTCGTTAATCTTATCTCTTCTTTTGATTTGTTCACGGTTACAAGAAATCACCACATAGAGTCTCTGAAGGCTCCGTAGATATAACAAACACAGAAATAAATAACACAAAATAAATTGTAGCTATGAGTCGATTCTGCACGACACGTCCGAACATGTAAACTGAACAATAGTGTGGGGGGAATGAGTAATCAAGAGTTGCGTGGCACTCAAGCAAAAGACAAATTGACGCGATTTGAAAATCGCGTAACTCCGGGTGCGTGTAAGTCAGGGTAGCATAAGTCGAGGTATTTCAGTTAAATGTACTGATAAAGCATTTTGAATATATAAGAATTTCAATTATATAGAATTTCAAAAGATTTTATATACATAGTGGCCAAATTGCAGCTCTCCTAGACCTTATTGCAGCTCTCCCATATATCAGGCCCCCTACTCCTTATTACTTAGGAGTAGGTGTTTTTGGTGCTTTTCTCTGTATGTAAATAAAATACTGTTCCAATATAAGACAAGATTTTGGCAAATATCTAATACATGGTATATGGCATCTATCTTGCCATATACCATGTTTCACCATCACTATTCTATGTGCAACAGGTTTGAAAATGTGAATGCAAGGCTTGCATCTACAAATGGAAAGTTTTAGAAAAAATTATCATGGTATGCAGTTTATGCACATTTATTTAATCTACAGTGAAAATTTTCAGTCTTACCCATAGATCCAAAAATGCACAACCACATGGCTGCGGCAGTATAGCAATCGATCTGTTGCTGTGGGAAATTCAAGCTCAGATTGGAAACCTCAAGAATTTTTCTCACAGTCTACTGAATACATCAGTCCCTACCAGATATAAATTTTTTAAAACTCTGTCTACTCTGTTGTCACTAAGAGGACTTTTTTCCATGCCAACCATTGGTATAACCTATTAAGAGTTTTACCATTAACTTTAATTTTGATTAAAGATAATTTGTCCTCTCACAGAGCTTAATAAATTGAAAAATATACATACCAGCACATCTTCCGTTAACAAAATTTTATTAATTTATCTTACACACATCATAAAGCAGTTGCAAACTTCACAGACTGCACAAAAAGAGAAGAGAAGAAAAAACAGGGTTTTTCTCCCTTTAAAAATGGACTAAATCTTATGCTTCTCTCATGAGCATTTATAGTTGAGTTGTTAAACAAGTAGTTCTAACATTATCAGACCCCACAAGGAGGCAACTTGGTTAATAAGGAAATGGAACATACTAAGTCAAACGATATGGAATTTTTCATGGACAGATTCAAACCAAACGACACCAGAGTAGCAGACTGTCACCTTTTCTATGCCTTGATTACCTAGCCATTAACATATCTTGTGATGTTCATAAATGAGATGTATTGGATTCCGCGAGCAGAATCGTACAATAAAATAAACTTTAATAAAGATCTGTAACACAATGTATTTTATTTTTTATCTCAATGAACCGGTTCTTTTGTTTATATAGATCCCAAGTTTTTGTTGACCTCAGATTATTTCAGATGCACAGGCATTGAACAATTTCTTTATCCAACCATCAAAAATTCTCTTAACACACGACACATAAACATGGGACAATCTAACTAACTCTAACTTACAACTAACTTACAAACTACTTTACCACTAAAGAAAATAGAAAAGATGGGAATTAAGAATGAAGGACCAAGTGATTAAAAAAAGATCAGAAAATACCCGGGGTTTTTGTGTCGATGCATCCTAGGATAAGACACTGTGCTCAAGTTTTTTATCCCTTAATTTCTTTTAATCTTTTTGCCGCAGACCTCTTTATCTCTTACTGGTTTTGATATTCTACTGAACGTTCACTGCTCTCTGACTTCTTTCTCTGATCCCTCAGCCCCTTGCAGTCCCTTGTTGTTTTACTCCTCTTCTTTATGATGAATTTTCTTCACTCTGTTTCCCGCATTCGGGAGCACTGCCTTCTCCGTGCCTTTCTCTTAGAGATCCATCCCCAAGACTGACTTCACTTTGGCTGTTTTGCCTCCAGGTTTCACACACACTTTTGTTTTCCTATGTTCCAGGAATTAGTAGTCTTACCCCCAAGGGAGAAGGGTTAAGAGAGAATGTTCTAGAAATAATTTTTTGAACAAAGAGATAGGAAGGAACTTAAAACTAATTCAAATAAAAATATACAAAAAACTATACAACAATCATAGCTGACAACCACGATCTGATTGCAAAACCATATTCGTGTCCTCAAGGCAGAAAGATTCAAAAATTATCCTACAAAATAAATAATTTATCTTAAATCCTTCATCAAAATAAAGGACATCTTAAACAATTGCATAAATTGTAAGATGTCGTCAAGATTGATTGAATCCTGTACACTTTTATTCTTTGATTTAAATCAAAAAATATTAAANCCCTCAACAGATGTGAGGAATCAACCTAGCCTTGGTGTTTCTGTGGCAATGCATCCACAGACCACAAAGGCTGGAAAACCACGTCAATGGATGAAATGGACAACAGAAATGAACGAGTTTATCATCCGTACTTACTACACCATCACAAAACTCGAAACAAACATGACAGCATACAGACAGCTATTACATCATAGATTCACACAACAATATCCTCACCTCACTGTCACCGAACAAAGGGTTGTTGATCAAAAAAGAACAATTATACACAACAACCTTCTTCCACAAACAATACTTGAACTTATCAAACAACAGGTTGCTGATCAAATACATCAACAGACAGAAACATTTAACATTATTAATGAAGATCACTTAACCTGTCAGGATAATCCAGCAACAAGCATTGATAATAGCACACATACAACAACTACCATTAATGATACTACAGACACTTCCTCATCCATCACTAATAACATAGACATAGAATTAGTTAATACACTCTCACTTATATTTCAGGAAACACTCACTAAATATACAGGTACAGATCCCACACAAAGATCACGAATACCAAAAATTAACATGTCAAACGTAGTAGGAAAAACACTAAATTATGCAAACACTCGCTGATTTACACTCGCCAGAAATACCAAAGTAGTGTGGCAGTATGCCATGTCTATGTACATAGGGGTTAGATATAAGTTTATTTTGTTTAAATCTTTTGTCTTTCACGTCTGTTTTTAGAACTTTCTAACCTATTCTTTCTCTACGGGTGGGGGACAACCTTTGTCCAAGGACGAAGGGAGAAAACAAAGGGATACTAAGAAGCCTTGAGGGCGTCAGGAAACAAAAAGGACACTTTTGGGTCAGCGTCTGAGGAGAGCAGACGGAGAAAAGAACAAGTCAAAGTTTGCCGCCGAGTGGGACAAAGGAGAGACTTGAAGTTGTCTGAGAACGGACAAATTAGGCGGACACCCAGATTAAGGGCTTTGAGAACACTTTGAATTCTCAAGAAACGGAACCAACATAGAGAAGATTGGAGACTGGCAAATTACCCAGGTACCCCCACCAATCTTTCCTTTATACTTGTCTTATCCCTTCATATATCTTATTTTTCACTTTTGTTCTTTAGTAAGTTAGGTTAAGGTAGTTTAAGTTAGTCGTAATATTGTGGAGATATCTCTCAAAGAAAACCTTGTATTGTCGTGAACATGTCTCCCACCTTGTGAAAATATAAAGAATATATCGGACTGTGTTGAAAATATATGGTTACCATAGTTTGGGATCCAAAAAAAAAAAAGAACCAGGTGTAAGAAGGACCACGAGAAAAGTAACTAAATAAAACCCTGTTTTTTATTGTTACTTCTTTGTAATCCATTATTTGTCTTCTACACTACCAAAGCAGGTTAAATGCTATCCTCAGAACACAGTTAAATGCAAAACACACAGTTAAAGCAATAAACACATATGTCATCCCAGTACTCACTCTTTTGACATTATGCATTGGACTCACAGATCTTGAGCAACTCCAAAGGAAACCACACTACATCCATTTAATTTCTACACTCTCGGACATTCATACATTAGTTTATGCTGGGGCAGTCACAGTAGTGACACACCATGGACTAAAAATACAATCACAGACAGATACACACAAAACACAATTCTATCACAAGCCTGCCTGGCAGAGGAGAATAGAAACACAAATAACTGACATTAGACAATAATTAGGCATGCTGACACAATACACTAAAAACAACATAACACCCAAATTAAAGAAACAACTCAAAAACATTTTCAAGAAAATCAAAACACACACAAAACATGAATATCACAACACACACATTACAGAATACATTGATACACTAAAACAGAAACTTGCAGCCAAAGCATGTAGACTCAAACGATAGAAAACATGTACCTGTACATTATGAAAACAACAAATAAGTTATTTACACACAACGAAAAAAACTTTTACAGACAAATTAGTACCAAAACAAATACTGATACACAACACATTGGCACACCAACAGAAGAAGAACTCGCAACTTGTTGGTCTTCTCTTTGGTCCAGTGCTGTTACACACAATGCTGATGCAGGCTTGATCGAGGAGGAGAACAGAAACTTGAACAAAATACCAACTATGCCCTGTGCTGAAATAAACGTACATGACATCCGCTACACTGTTAACAGAACACACAACTGGAAGACACCTGGTGTAGACAACATTCACAATTTCTGGTATAAAAAATTTACATCACTGCACCAGGAACTAGC